AATCTACATCTCTCAAATTTGGGCCTAAGACTTTTAGTTACACATTGTATGTGTCTTCTGTGGTATCATTAGCTTCTTTTTGCTCACTGTTTGTATAGGGTACTTGCAAAAATTGTGTTACACCAGTAAACGACTGTACTTCAAAATTTACTTTTGAACTGATAATGCCCTACAATTCCTAGGGATACCAAGTGGGTTGGGAGACTTTTTTTGTTTCTTTCTTTCTTTTGTTTGTTTGTTTGGATTGGTTTGTTTTCCTCCAGAGCTAAGAAAAACACATTGGTGCTGCTAGTGCTGTTATTACCACTATCTACTACACTATTCAACTCAAAATGTTTAATATATTTTGTATTCAACAACACAAATTGCTGAATCAATAAGTTGAGGCTTATATATTTTATAACCACTATCTAAAAAGAAAAATAAATTCAAGATATGTTTCAGTGGATCTGTTCAGATGTTCGGAGAGACCACTATTCAGCTATATGAGCTATTTTAGCTGATCATTAGTATTTGTTTTATTTGTTGTTATAGAACTTTTCTGAGTTCCCCCCAACTTCTGATTTAGAAATGCAATATCTGGGTCTGTCTATTTTTTGCAGTGAAAAGTCTGAAGCTAATGGTTCTGGCAGACTGACTAGGCAAAACATGAGAGTGAGCACTTACAAAGGAAAAAAATAAGAACTGAGTATTTGGATTCCAAAGTGCTACCTCAGTGATTAAAATAAAATACAAAACTCGAGCCCTCCATTTGATCTGAAACATGAATACAAGTTCATTTTGAGTTTACAAAGCTGAGAACACTGGCATCCTTCAAACCTCTTTGGAAATGCAGCCAATTCAAACTTCCTGAGAGTGAAGTTTGTGGGAAGTGGCTTAACATATTAGAAAAGCGTTTTGAACTCCAAACAGAACAAGGTATTATGCTCAAAGATGATCCTTATGCTTAGCGACGGAAACTACAAATTGTGAAACATTTGGTGTATGGTTTGACTTATGCCACTGTTACAGCAGTGTATGCAATTCTTCCAAATACTCTCATTAAAAGCATCTTTTTTTAAATCTTTTTTTTTTCCCCTGTGCAAATAAGGAAATAGGTAAGAGCTTTAAAACATAACCATTCACCCTTATAGACTCTTTGGAACAAAGTAAACTTTTAAAGATTAACCTGACCAAACTAAATTTAAAAAGAAAAGAAAAAAACCATACAACTAAGTCCTTGGAACCTTACACAAAACTACATAAAGACCCACTGAATAAAATATGCTCTGCAGGGACATGTAAGTTATGCAAATTCAAAGAGTAGGACAGGCTTGAAAAATGACTTTTACCTCGGAAAAGCATCAAGTTAGCCATCAGGGTGCCATCAATCAGGTGAAATTCCATGTCAGAAGTGGAGCTTTCGATTCTGTCTGTGTTTCTGGTATGCTGTAGCCCTGAATGATGGTTGGGCTGAGAAAAATAAAATGTAGGCTTTGCCATCTTACAGACATTACTTTGTCACTCGTGAATATTACAATCAAGTCAAGTCACCCTAAATAGTAAACAAACCTAGATTAAGCTCCCTTCCCTTTTTATAGTCTTGCACTTCTCTTCTCTCTTTTTTTTTTTTTTTTTTAATGTGGATTTTAAAGGCTTGTCTTAGATTTCCAGTGGTATAAATTAGATAAGCTGTAAACATGGAAGTGCTGCTGTTGAGCTGTAGGTGGTATGCTCAGCTGTAGGTGTGAGATGTTACTATATATTTCTGTATAAAGACAGACTGCCTGCACATGATAAATCACTAAATTTTCCCCAACTTATGCTAAGTGAATGTAAGATAAATCTCAGGAAAGTTTTGATTTTCTTCTGAAAAGAATTAAGTGGCTACTATTTTATAATATGTTTCACAAAATAAATTATGGGAACAGACATCTTGGTGTCTATTCCACAACTGAAAATTGCAAAAAGCACTAGAGTTCATTTTGTCTTGTGCCTATGTGCATGTGCACAAATGTTTCAAGTATAGAAGTCTGTAATGTTACAAAGATAATTATTTCTGAATATAAATGAACCTTGATTTATAGAGTTCATTAGCAAAAACTGGTGTGTATTGCCATGCATTAATTTTAGCTTTAGAATTAAAGTTTTCAATCTGCCTCAACTGTAGGGATGGTACCCCAGCAAGCCCACAAGTCTGTGAGTCTGGCTGTCTAGAAAAGAAAGCAATGAAAGATGTAGATAAAATAATAATGTCTATTTATGACTTCTTGAAGGTGCTTCCACTATCAGTTGTGTGTTATATCTGTTTCTTTTGCTTACTGGTTCAGAAGGTGAATCCATCTACCTAGTAGTGTGTTTGATATTTGAAGCTGCAAAAGGTATTTTCTGAATTGTAAGGAAATTCAAATTCTTCTAGGTTTGTGAAGTTTTTTGGTTGGTTGATTGTTGTTTTTCAAATGCTATTTTCAGTAGTTAGGGGAGTTGTCCCAATTTTTTACAGGCTTTCTAGACCCCACAAGATGCCGCAGTTTTTTCAGTAAGTATAAAAGATGTTGGAAAACCAAATTGTAATACACTTCCTGTTATCCACAAATAACAACAGATTTTAGGTAGCTGCAGGAAGAGAGCAATTTCTCAGATAACTAAATGAAAAAGGACAGTGAACTAGAACTACATTCTCCACTAAAGTAGGGGATGAGATGAATGAGTGAGCAGAATGTTAAACTCACCTATTTCTTGCCTTCCATATTGTATTTTGTTCAGAATCAAATCTCTGCAATACTTTTCTCATTTCATTAAGCGTAGGAGACGAAATGTCAATTCTTGCTTGTTGCTGCATTCAGAGCTGTTCACGAGGCTGATTTTTAATTTTTCTTTTTTTTTTTTTTTCCCTTACCCCTTTGTTGCTTTCACCATCTTTGCTGGAAAAGCAATGCCATTGCACGGACAGAAATCAGATAACAGTGTTTTGTACTCTGATATTTCATGAATGCAAAGAGAAGATTTACCATTGTTTTTATAACTCCCTCTACAAAAGTTCTTGAAACAAGAAAGCCCTTTCCAGCACCTCCTCTACTGAAAGCAATGTGAGTCTGTTCTGTTGCTTTTCAAGTAACAGAATTTATGAGGCTTTGAATGTGGTGAGGCTTTATTGGAATGATATCAAAGGGTTCTGTGACTTTGTTTTCCATTCATGGTGTAAAGACCCTTCGTGGCTACGGAGCAAGAGACCGTAGCGCTCCCAGCCTGTATCGGTGTATCAGCAACGCACTTCACTGCGTTCCCAGAATTACTTAACTGTGGGATCTGAAATTACAGTTTAACAGGGTTCAAAAATATATTGTGAGAGTCTCATCAGCATGCAGTAGATTGTCTTAGTTGTCTGTTGTTTGATTTCTTAACAGGGAAGAAGAAATTATACCAAAATCAAAACTTTTGCAAAATTAGATGTTCATTTTGGCTGGAGCCACAATTGAGTGCAGAAGTTCAACTAAAAGCTGACAAAGACTTTCAAAACCACCAGAATAAAATCCAAATGCATTTTCTAACTTGCCATTCTAGGTTTTAGAAAATGCATATGGCAATAGGCCTTGTGTATGTTGAAGGGGATGTTTGTTCTTCTTTCTCTGCTTATAACAAGGTGCACAATGTTTAAGATCAGTAAGATGTGCAATGTGCAGCTTCACGTATTCTTCTCCCCAAGATCTTTCACACCAGGGAAGCAGCTTAACGATTGTGCTGTTAGAGACTAAATCTTTTCAGTATTTTTTTTTTCAGACTTATTTTTTTTTTTAGTATCTCCTTGGTTTTCACTATTTTTTCAGTGATAAGGGAAATGGATCTTGGGATTTGTATGTGCATGTGGTAACTATTAACTCAGTGCATTCTTAGTGCCTCGGGAGCAGTGAACTGGCCTTTTCTAGCCTATGTCTATACCTTCCAGAAAAGTATGACTTCCCACGGAACAAATTCAGTCTTTCAGAAAATTAACTGTGAATTCAAAGACTGAGTAAGAACCCAGTAATTCAAAATCACAAGGATCTGAGCAAAAGCTGGTTGTGTGGGTGAGGTAGAGGCTTCGTTTGATGTTTTTCCATCTTCCCTGCCTCGATGTGTCTGGCACCGAATATGCTTTCTGTGCCGCACTTCAATCTCTCTTTCCACCCCTGACAGTCACTGTTACTTGCCTGCTCATGCCTGCCTGGCCAGTGGTCACTGTATAAGAGGAAGCCCCTAAGGTTGCTGGTAGCAAATCCTGCAATCTTTTCTGCCAGCAGGGAGGATTGGGAAGGAAGACACTAAATAGACATCCTTCCTTGGGCGTTGTAGCTTTAGCCAGCTCTACAACAAAGACTTTACAGTTGTATACTTGTCACCAAATGCAGTTTGTAATTTCAGTTTGAGCACTCAGGCTTCTGTCACAAAAATCTGCCCTATTATATGCTGTGAAGTAAAAGAGTTTGCATTGGTAGCCAAAACCAACAAATCAGACAGGATTATAAATGTTTCACTATTATTCTCTCATTGTGAATTTTTGCATTCAAATACATCAGCTTTTTTAAAAAAAATAATGTTCTCTTCTTCCTGTTCTTCTTTCTTTAGCCGTTTCCTAGCTGACGTGTTCACATAGTGGGGAAGGTATTGTCTGTCTAAGAATGTGAGATGAGAGACAGAAATGAGTAACGCTTGTCAAAAGAATATCGGTAAAGAGGTGCATTTTTTTAATCTGTTGGCTAGCACGTGAAAGAGTTCTGTCTAGGTACATTCTAATGAGAGAAGCATTATCCATATATATTTCAATATAAGAAAATAAATGCCTATTGTGAAATTCTGTTCTCTTATATATCACATCTTGGTATTGTTTTTGTGGCATCATACTGGTGTGAGAGAGAAGGATTGAGGTTCCCCTCCCCTGGCAACTCTAGTTTAAATGTAGTTATGCAATGTAGGTTGTTCTTAGCTTGATAGGGAACAGCTCCTTCTGATTGTGTGGCTTTCTGACTCAAATTGGAAGGAACAGTGACTCTTTTCAGCCATTTGAAGTAAATTTTGGGGTAAATGGAAGCTACGGATGATGAGAGCACCTTGCAAGTTAGCTGTCCTGAGATCCACATCTTACATGATGTGCTGTGGTATGGCAGATCTTCTATAATACTACTGTCTTTTTTTTTTTTTTCTATATAAAAGCTGTTTTTAAAAAGACACAACTTCAAAAATGAAATCATGCTATTTGTTCTGTAGTACCGCAATGAAAGAAGCCAAAGGTCACCAGAGCAACAGTTGCTTGAATGATTGGAGTCTTTAGAGCAAGGTCTGAGGCCTCTAGCTGAGGGAAACACTCCCCATCAGTTTCCAGAAGAAAATTTTGTGGTTTATATGTAGATTAAAGCTTTGGTACAAAATTGTGTTCCAGTGCCTTTCTACCATTTTTACTGTCAGTTGCAGTAGCAATGATAACATTTAATTTTTTTATAAAGCAGAAGACAGCTAACCAGGTGCAGTACTACACAGTAACAGATGGTCTTCTCATGAATTTGTTCTCCATGTTTGGAAAGAATATAATGAAAATAATGCTGTTGAGAATGACAGAGTAGTGATGTCACTAGCAATATTTTGATAGAGAAACATTCTCATATTAATTTATTTATTCTTTCACTTTTATTCTGGATGTAAAGAAAAAATTATTTGATTTGAAAAAAGATCTGGTGTGGAGAACAGTAAGTAGAATACATTTTGCCTTGAAGGCAAAAATTATTTAGTGGTTTCCATAGGTTGGCTTTTGCTTCTCTTAATATTCTCCTGCCTGTGTGATATTTATACTCAAAAAAAAAAAAAATCTCTTCTAACGGTTGTGTATACTTCCTGTTTGACTGTAGAGCCCTTTGCATTAGGAAAGATGCACCAGAATGGATTTCTACATTTTTTTCATAGTCCTATAACAGAGAGGTGTTCCACTTAACTTGCTTAAAGCTACAAAAACCTCTCAAAGGAAAAATTTCCTACTTGCCACAGAGAGTGTGTTCCTAAGTACTGGCCGTAGACTTTCCCTATCCTCCTTTCTTTTCTAACTATATTACTTTTCTTGGTTTGGCTTTCCTTCATGTTACAAGCTTTGTTACAGAGGGAGATATTTGGGAGGGTTTGTTTCTTAAAATAACATCACTTCCCAACAACCCTAATGGGCTGAGTCAAAAAGGACAACCAAGGGGCAGGGCAAATATCATTTGAAAGGATGGGACTCACCAAAGATTGAAATATCAGTTTGTAGCAAGAATTATAAATCAATTTTTTATGCAATCATTTATTTTGGTACTTCATTTTAAGTACCACCCCTAAAAGCTCAGCTTCTTCTATCTTTAATCTTGTTTGAATAACCTGGGCTTAATAAAAAAAGGCAACTATTGTTAGTTATAATACTTAATCACTTGCAACTGCTCCTGTTCTATTCTTTCAATGAAAAAAGTAAAGCT